AAAGTATTGTTATATTTAGTACAAAGGCTTGAGGATTTAATTTACTTAACTATACAGTCGGATATAAAAGTCCACATAAATAACATCCTGATTGCCAAAGTCCAACTTAAAATGCAAGAGAGCTCCTAGTTCAGAATTCCTGCTAAATCTAAGCAGACAGGCAGAAAGTCAGGGCTGGTGGTGGGAAGGGAGCAGAGGCAGACAGACAAGACCAACAAGCAAAAAAAAAAAACCCAATCAAACCCACCCAAACATTAAACACTTCTTTTAGGTATCACAAAACAGCTTTTAAATAAGAGGTGAGCTTTGTAAATATCTATATAGTTGTCTCTAAAGGTGATACAGGAAATGGTTTGTCAGAAATGTTTTAGACTAGGCTGGCATAACAAAGATGAGGTCAACATCTCTGAAACATGCAATGCTTGTTTGTGAGAACAAGGCTTTTTTGACAGCTCCCATAAATTCAAGCTTCTAAAGTCATTTTTATTTGCAAATGTGGAGAAAGACAGTACTCTGGAGGAAAGGCAAGAGAAGTAATAGTACAAACAGCATATATATATATATATATTTTTTTTTAGTCCAATGTGCAGTCAGGTCTGGAAGAAGTCAGGTATTTCCAAGGACTGCAAGGATCATGCTGTTGAACAGATGAATGTGCAGTGGGAGTCAGTTGACTGAGCAGACAGAAAGATGCAGGTCTGTAACAAAAGAAAAGCAAGGAAAAATAGATGCCCGAGATGTGAAGATTTAGAAGAACAACTGAATAGAATTGTTCTAGTTACTGCCTTAAGGAACAGGAAGAACTGCAATGAAAAAGATTAAGAGCAGTACTCTGTCTTAAATTAAAAAGCAGGTATCTTCAAGATTGCGACATGCCAATGTTCCAGTACAAATCACAAGGATCTATTCAGGAATAGAAAAGTAGTTCTGTTGGTCATGAGTATAAACGTATCCACTGAACTGAAATCCACAAATGTGATTATCTAGAAAAAAGACAGATAATTACAGTTGTCAAATATATCGTCTGTGGCCTCCTGGATCCCAGGATCCACTCCTAAAGGATGTTTAGGACCTATCTATTGCCTTTTTAATTCAAGACACCAAGAACTTTAACACTGAATTTGCTATATGAGGTGAAGAATGTGATAATTCACAACACAAAGTGCTAATAATCCTATAAACTCATGCTGCTGGTTTGAATGTATTCATAAAACCTGATGAGTTAACCTCATACCAGAATGTTTTCTACTAAATGAGGTACTGCCTGTTCTCCTGCAGTTGGCATAAATTCAGTCTTATGTGCTTTAGCTAATTCAACAGAAATGTACTTGCAAATCCACACCTGATCTGGATCACATGTATATTAATGCAGCACACAGATCAGTCACACAGAACAACCATCTCCTAAGATGAGTAGAATTACATTCATTCTGCAAGCATTAATGGAATTTTTATTTGTTGAACACTAAAAGTTAAGATGAGGAACCATGGAAGAGAAAAACAACTTGGGTCTACTACTTTCTCTACTTGAAAGCCAGCCAAAATATACATTGCTTTTCAGAAATCTCACTCACACTAAGTATATGAGCTTATCTATAAGAAACAACAACAAAAATACAATAAAACAAAATATTACTTCAAACAATTAGGAAAAAGAAGTTTGGGAACTATCAACTTGACATGAATATTGAAGTGCTTAAGGAAAAACACTTTTGTATGTTGAATTTTTAGTGTGGACAATATACTAGACTGCACTTATATTTTTTGTTGAGTTCCCATGAAATTTAAGTATTTGTCACACATTGAAAATAATTTTAAATTAGAGAAGCTCATTTATTTAATGATTTTAAAAAAGTAAAAGCAGCAAATTCCATGTATAAATGAGCATTTTCCATTTGGCTTACAAACTATATGCTCAAATTCAGCTTACTTCTACTAATGAGGATGGCGCTCAGAAATTTTCCAGAAAAGGTTCTCCTGCTGTTGGGATAGCACATTGAAGTGCATAGAATTACAAGGTTAAAATATTGTTATACATGGCTAATGTTCAGAATCCCATATTTTTATTCCAAATGACCTGCAGTCAAATTTGTACAAAATGATGCACCAGTTTACAGGTATAACAAAAGAATTTAGATAATCCAGGCCAATAGTATTTTGCACAGCTTAAATATGCCTGCTTCTTCTTAGAGAGAGAACAACAAAATATAAAAATAACTGATCAGTGATATTGTTCACAAAGTCATTGTCTAGGTACAGCAATGTCACATCTATCTCTTAATTAAATCACTGCAATTTCCTGTTTTAGAAAAACCTTTTGAAAAGCATATAATGGAATAAATTAAATTTAAAGGCTAGAAATAGACTGATTTTATAAACACATCTTCCCTCAGTTGAGCATTCTAACTCAAGATGCAGCAGGATTCTCTAATCACCACACAAAAATATAGTTTTTATAGATGCTGGAATAAATCTGTCTTACTGGGTCAACAGGTATACAGCTACTACACGCTCTTTTTCTACATAAGCAAGGTATTTTAGATGCTTCTCGCACATTGTATTTTCCTGGCAACAGACCACAATTTGTACTTTTCCTTTTATTTCAGTATCTTTTTAACAGAACAAGCCCATAAATAGATGTAGGAGTACAACCAAGTAGATGATAAACTATGACATATGGGCTGAACAAGCAATTGGGAAAGTGAGCACTGAGAAGAAAGTGACTCTAGTGGAAGTAACTTTAAATAGTTTTGCCATCAGATAAAGTATTCACATAACATTTAAGACAATCTGACACACTTGCAAGGAAAAGTAACAGAAAAACTTTCATTCCAAGACATGTGAAATAAACAAATGCATCCATGGGTGTATATACGAAACCTCATTCCGAGTTCAGTAAACACTTAGGTAATTTTTGTTTAAATGATGATTCAAACAATGGTCCTAAAAGAAGTTGTTAGCCAGCTAGTTTTCACAGCTCTCTTCAACAGGGGAGGGGGAAGTACTAAACCAACCGAGCTACTGCTTAGAACACTATGAGAAAACACATTTGAACATTTGTTCCATATCCTAAGGTTTCATGAGATTCCAGCAGATAAATGTACATTCCTCAAAAGCTTTTCTGTATTAGAAACACAGAATTTATAAAATTTAAAAATAAAAGCTCATAACATAGGACTTTATACAGAAGAGCATTAAACAACTGAAAATAGCAACAAAATTCACTCTCAAATTCAATCCATCTTTCTATAGATGCGGACTTTATCCATATCCACAGAATATGATGAAAGATACGAAGATGGCTACCAAACTACACGTACTAAAAGTTCCATACAAACCAGAAAAATACTGAAAAAATAATTTTAAATGCCTTGCCAGAAAACACATAAAGCATTACTTTGCCACATTCAAAAAAGACAATAACATCTTCTGCAGTACTGCTACTCATCACATACAGGAAAACCTTTCCATGCAACAATCTGAGGATTCCAAAGGCATACAGGACTAGGCACAGTACCAATCAAAGGCCTAACGCTTTCTGGAAAACAAATCAAAAAGAAAAGCTTTAATTGTTTCTCTCACAAGAAAAATTTTAAATCTATAAACACATTTTAGGACATTTGCTTTTCCCATACTAGGTTTATTTCATCTCTTCATCTACACATGCAAGTGCTTCAGTTTCCTGTACCTTTCTGGAGCTATTTTAGAATTTAGCAACAGAAAGAAGTTATTTAAGAGGTCTACTACAATGTTTGTACTGAATAGAGCACTGTAGATGAGCAGTGTAGCAAAACCAATATCTAGGGGAGTAACAAATTGGTCAGTCATTTAAAAAGTTTGCCTGAAACTATAGCTCTGGGAGGGGAAGGGCAGCACGAGGAAAGCTGCAACTCAACAGCTTTTTAACTCCGGATTAGAAGGATCCAGTCTGGTTTAGCTCGGTGGCATACACTGCAAAACTCCTTCTCCCTACAACATTAATACAATGCAAATCTTGCGGCATTCAGCTGTCCGCAAGTTGTACAGTAATTTTAGTCCTGCACGAAGGTATTTCTAATTAAAACCCTTGCTTCCTTTTTTCTTGTACAGTGATTTTTAAAAATAATCTTACTTATCTTTACACAAAAGCATATCACTTAAAACATACAAAAAAAGCTAGTTTCAAGTACTTGCAAGCAAACCTCAAGAACACATGATAGCATACTATGTGAGTCACTATAATATATATTTAGAACCTCCATCAAGGTTGTACTTCCCGCTGTAAGATTTCAGCAACATAAGCAACTTCCACAAAACTGAAACAATGCAGAAAGTTAAATGGTACTTTGCCTTGTGTTCCTTCGATGCTTTCTGCACTTTATTCTCATAGCAACAGTTTAGGAGATGTTCAGGTCTACAAGAAACATTAAGAGCAAACATCCTGCAACCTAAAATTTCCTTCCTCTGGGCAGAGGTCCGCAGAATCCGCGTCAAAAGTTCGAGATCTCATCCCCTTCGTATGGAAGTTAGGGTCCACCCTAAACAAAGGCCCCGGGACAAACTACGCCGCGCCGTTTCCCCAGAACAACCCCGCCTCTAAGCCCGAAAGAAGCCGAGGCGCTCACCTGCGTTAACAGGCTGCCGTGCCTCCCCTCACCCCGAAAACTTCTGAGGGGCCGCGAGCACGCACCCCACTACGGCAGAGCGGCGTTGCCTCTGCCACGTTACCTGAGGAAAAGCATCCCAGCGCCCAACCACCCTCCCCGCCCGAGACGCGGGGCCCTCTCTCCTCAGCCATCCCCGGGTGCCGCAAGAGCTGCGAGCCGGCTCGGCGGGCACCCGCCCCGCCCTCGCGGCACGGGGGCCCTTATTACCTCAGGGCTGGGAGGCGAGCGGGCACCTTGCCTCAGGGAAGCTCTCGCCTCAGGGAAGCTCTCGCCTCAGGGAAGCTCTTCCCTCCCTGGAAGGCGGGGGGGGGGGGGGTTTCTTCGGGGGGGCCCTTACCTCACGGGAGCCCTTACCTAGGAGGAGCAGCTTGACCTCCCTGGCCGCCTTCTCGCCATCCTCTCGCAGGTTCCTGTCGATCATCTTGCTCCTCTCCACCGCTGCCTTGTCCTCGGCGCTCAGCGTGCAGCCCATTTTGGGCAGGGGGCTGTGGTACCGCGCCGGCAGAAGAGAAGCAAGGGAGCGGCGGGGTTTCGCGCCCGGGGCCGCCGGAGAGGCGCTGAGGAGGGAGGGGGAGCGAGCGCCTCCCCGCTCTCTTTCTCCTTCCCCCCCTCCCTCACCTGAAACGCAACGGCGGCGTAGGCACCACACGCCGCGTTCACCTCACACGCAAGCAAGCGGAGAGGAAGAGAACGGGGCGGGGGCGGCGAGGGGAGGCTTGCCCGAAGCCGTCCCCAGGGGAAGGCGGAGAGGGCAGAAGGCAGAGGGCCGCCGACGGAGGCC